CATCAAGAAATGACCTATGCAGAAAAAAAAATATCAAGAAGAGATCTTTTCTTCTCTGGCAACGGTCAAAATCTAAGAGCACAAAAGATTGCGTGAGTGTGTGTGTGTGAGAAACACGAAGAGAGAGAGAGAGAGAGAGAGGATGTGTCTTTTCTTGTGAGAGAGAGGAGGAGAGGGACGACTGTTGAGGCGTTGAGGAGTACAAAATTGGAAGAAAAGCTAAAAAGATTTCAAAGTAGAGAAAAGAAAAAAATAGGGTTTAGATTCGAAAGTGACAGGATGAAAGAATGGAGCTTTGTCTTATAAACGGCAAGTTGGGTTCAGCGTGATTCTTTTTTTCAGGCAGTGGCAGGAGTTCAAACTGTTGCAAAGCTTTTTCTTGTTGTACCATGATAAAGTCCTAATTTTTAACTAGCGGACAAAAACTAATATATTTTAGCCTATATATATTTACAATTATTTCAATTTGATTCTTGTATTTGAATTTTTTTCAACCCATTTGTTAAATTCATATTCCTATGTTATTTGTATCTTAATTCCCATGAAAGCTACAGGTTTCTCAAGCTATATTTTAACTCCAACTAGAATCTAAAACTTCCACGTTACCTTGTGAATTTTATTTATCAAAAAAATAATTTTTAGATTTTCCAAAATCTTCAAATAAAATGTTGTTTTGTTGAATTTACTCAAATTGCAAGCCTAGTTACCAAAGTTTCGAGACAAAAGTTTTGAAAAAGACATGAATATTACAGTATTTTCCTTCTAGAAGAATCTTCTCCTGAAAATTCATTTATATCTTATAGTTTTTATGTTTTGTAATCTTTTTTTTATTTGGTTATGACAAATAAAAGTTTTAGTATCAAGAAAATTATACATTAACTAATGTTATTATATTCTGTCTATTTTAGCAGTTTAATTTGGTGTTTGGTTAACTCAATTCCTGGCTCAAATTAAATTTTGAATTAAATTAGATATGCTTTCAGATGGTCAAAATTCAATTTGCTTTTATATATATATTAACTGCATTATTTTAAATTAATTTAAATTAACCCTATAAACTCTTGTTTAGAACTTCAAACCAACTTGGATTCAAGACTTTGATATCAAATAAGTGTTTGAGAATATTGTAATAGTTATTTTTAAAAAAAATTACTTGAAAATATATTTAAAAAATTTAAAAAATTTTTTTTAAAAAAAATTACTTGAAAATATATTAAAAAAATTTTATTTTTATATTAGCATATCAAAATAATTTTAAAAAATAAAAAAATAATTTTACACAAAAAAATTCAAATTTTACCTGACCTTCATTTAAAATGAAATACCAAATAGGGTTTAAGAGTATGCGTGATGTCAAAATTTCTATCTGACTTCTATATATTTAAAATTCATCATTTAGTAGAGTAGGAAACTAATTGAATACTACTTAAAGGTAGAGGGTGCATTTGTAGTTTGCAAAATTAAACTTGGCAGAATATGCTCGAAATTATTTTTGTAGCTCGAAACTAGATATGTTACAGATTTCAAAGACAGGAAGACATGAATTTCAAAACCCTTACAAAACATCAGACAAAGGAGACTTTAAAAATTCTCAAAGCCAACTCCCATCTACAACTCCACAATCATCAACCTCTCTTACAGCCCGACAATGTTGTCTTGAAACACCAATTAGGCTCAAAAGTAGCACACCACGTGTTCGGTAAAGATCCGCAAGAAGGCCTTGTGTACTACAATCACTTGCTTTTTGAATGCTCTAGGGAGAACAGAAACAAAGAGGTCGTCAATCTCTTTTTGATAATTCATCAAAAAGCTTATTCTTTATTGTTTGGTCGAAACTTTGGTGTTCGAGTGCATAATTATAGTTTAAAGTCTGGTTTTTTCGGAGAATGTTCGTGTTGGCACTGCACTTTTGGATGTGAATTTGAAGAATGAGAGTGTTGAAGAAGGGAGGAGAGCTTTTGATGAAATGGGGGAGAGGAATGTAGTTTCGTGGACCTCATTGCTCACAGGATATGCGCAAAATGGATTGAATGTGGAAACGATGGAATTGTTTCTTAGAATGTAAGTGGAGGGGATTAAGCCGAATCCTTTTACATCTCTGCCGTTATTGGAGCCTTGACAGATGAAGGAATGGTTGAGAAGGGAATTCAAGTTCATAAAATGGTGATAAAAAATGGATTCGGGGCAGCTACGTTTGCTTGCAATTCTTTGATTAATATGTACTTCAAGTCAGGGAAGATTAGAGATGGTAGAGGTGTTTTTGATGGTTTGAATGATAGGAAAGCTGTTAGTTGGAACAGTACGGTTGCTTGTATGGTAACAAAGAGTGGGTTGTATATGATAAGAATACTAGGACAACACAGATGCTAGCATACAGTAAGTGTGGGGAAATGGATAATGTTTCCAAGATACTCCCTCTGATGGATGATTAAGTGCGAAATGTGGTGTCACGGTCAGCCATGATTAGTGGGTACTTGCAGAATGGAATGGCAGAACAAGCCCGTAATCTGTTTTTCCAAGTGAGTAGGGTAGGTGTTAGACCAAATGATTTTACCTATTCTACTATACTTAAGTCTCAACCAGGAGTTTCTCCTTTTGAGATACACGCACAAGCCATCAAAAGCAATTATGCTAAGTCACCATCTGTTGGGAATGCACTCTTAAATGCTTATGTCAAACGAGGGAATGTTGATGAAGCTTCAAAGGTTTTTCAAAGCATAGACGAGAAGGATGTGGCATGGACGTCGGCATTGATTAATTTCTGGATATGCTCAAATAGGAGACACTGACGGTGCCATGAGGATATTTGTACAAATGGAAAAGGAGGGGAATTAAACCGAATGAGTATACCTTCTCTGTTATCATTAATGCATGTGCAGCTCCTGCAGGGGAGAACAAGGGAAACAGCTTCATGCCTGGTCAATTAAAACAAGATTCAATATTGCTCTATTTGTTAGTAGTGTTCTTCTTACCATGTATTCAAAGACAGGGGACATTAAAAGTGCATATAAAGTTTTCAAGAGGCAAAGGGAGAGAGATTTAGTGTCATAGAATTCCACTATCTCTGGATATGCACAGCATGGCTATGGGAGGAAAGCTCTTGAAATATTTGAGGAGATGCGGAAGCATAACTTGAAGATTGATGGTGTAAAATTCATCGGCGTCATTTCTGCCAGCACGCATACTGGACTAGTGGATGAAGGTCAAAGATACTTAAATATAATGGTGAAAGATCACCATATTGAGCTTAGAATGGAGCAATAGTCTTGCATGGTTGATCTACGTCGCCGGGCTGGAATGCTTGGGAAAGTCATGGAAATCATAAATGGGATGCCATTTCCAGCAAATGCAAACGTGTGGCAACTCTCTTGGCTGCTTCCCGTGTTCACCGTAATCTAGAGCTGGGGAAACTTGCAGCAGACAAGCTCATTTCTCTCCAGCCACAAAATCCAGCTTCATATGTCTCGCCATCTTTTATGTGTGCTCTTCGGTTAGGAACTGGCAAGAAATTGATGGGCCAGAAGAAAGTGAAAAAAGTATCAGGGTACAGCTGAATTGAGGTGAAGAAATGGACTTCCCTTGTAAAACGTGCTAAGCGCTTGGATTCCTAGGTATTTGTTTTTTTAAAAAAGTTGTTTGTCTTTTAAATTAATTATTTTTTATATTTTTTATCTAAATTTCTTTAATTTATATTTAAATTAATACTTTTATCTCTTTTATTTTTTTTAATAATTTCTTTTAAATAACAATTATATCTAATACTTTTATCTCTTTTATTTTTTTTAAATAATTTCTTTTAAATAACAATTATATTTTTTTAGTTATATATTTAAATTTAAATTTAAAGAGTTTTTTTTATTAATCTATAATTTTTTTATCTTTTGTATGGATGAATTTTAATTTTTAAATAAAAAATTATATTTAGATAATATTGCTAATATATTTAATTTTGTATTATTTTTTATTTTATTTAATGAATTTAATTTGTATCTTTATTTTCATTATTATTTACTTAAATAAAAATATTATTTTAATAAATAAATTTAGTAAGTATGATAAGATGAATGTCTTATTTTTTTTAGATTAAATATATTAATATATATATTTATCTTTTAATTTTTTAAATTTTATTTTTAGATATTATTAATAACATTTTATTTATTTATTTATATAATTTTCAACTTATTTGATTATATGTATATATAAAAAAATTTACTTGAGCTTAGATTTTTAAATTATATAAATACATTGAAAAACCATTATATATATATATATATAATTTTCTTATAAAATATAAAAATATATAATCTAACAGTTAAAATAACAGAATTAAAGAACAACAAATAATTGCACATGACCCTTCATATTCGTAGAGCCCATTTGCTGTGAAATTTTATTTATTTATTTATTTAAAATTAATTTTTTAAATTATTTTAATATATCATATTAAAATATTTTTAAAAAATAATATTTTAATATATTTTTAAATACAAAAACACATTAAAAAACAATAATTACAACACTAAGAAACATCCCACTTGCTTGTTCTCTGCCTCCAGCTCTTCTCAATCGTGTCTCCTTAAACTTGGAGTGATCAGGTTAAGGAAACCTTATCCAAACACGTACTATCTTTTTTCAACTCCCGTCTGTTCCCCTCCTTAGTCAATCAACTTTCCCTGCCTACACGCCACCTGTACAACCCTATCAATAGCCACTAAGATGTCGTCACCATCATGACTCACATCACATCACTCTGCCACGTCATCGTTATTCATACTTTATAAAGATAAGCTAGCACACCGATTGATATTGTGATCACGACCCTGGTGACATTCGAACGGCCAAGATTATTCTATTTCAAGCTCTCAAGTTACCAGATAAACGTCCTTGTGTGCACGTGATAAGGAAAAAAAAAAAAAAGCGCAGTTGAAAGAGCGTTCATTTGCCGCGTTACACTATTCTCAGTCACCTATTTTAAATTTTTTTCCTTTGCATAAAAATAAATTAAAAGATTAATTATTATTAACCATTATTCTCTTTCTAGAAGTCTTCTGCAGCCATGATCATCTCGTACGAACAAACAAACGGCCGTTAACGGCGTCGTCGAAACCGACACGCCTACATTTCACAGCGTCGACCGACGGCGGGGTCGCCGGTGAGGGATTGACAGTCCGGCGGTACGGACCGAACCATTTGTTTTGCATGTAACGGTTTTTTCTCCAAGGAGGTAGAGACAGCTCTCGACTCTTCAACGATCTCTTAGAGGCGTCACTGATGCTCTTCACGATCGTCTTCAAATCCTCACTTCTGCCTACAAAAACACGAGGAAGAGAGTGCAGAAGCTTCAAGAACTGACTCGTAGGTCTCGCAATCTCAAATTGAGAAGCGAAATCGAGATCCACCACGTAACGGTTTTGCAATGTGGAGGATTCTGATTGCACCACGTCGATAAACTCGTATCCACCGGCGGTTAAACCACCGCCACCAGAAGATTCCCATTTAGTCTTACAGATCGCTGCATTGTGTCCTAACTCTCTCAGGAAAGACATCACTTTGCGCCTCAAAACCGGTCTTTGATTGATGAAGCACGAAAAAGCTTCCATCGCTTTCGAAACATGAGCGGATAATAAATTCCTGTATGAATCCCTACTACCTGATCTCAGGATACCTTCCACGAAATCCTTACAATCGGCGACTGAGTCAACTCGATCTGAATCCGACTCGTAACCATTAACTGAGTCGTGAGTTAAATCTGAGTCGTCACTCTCAAGAAAGCCGTGAACGAGCCCGGACAAACAAGGTAAGCCGTCGTCGTCGTCTGCTGAGTGTTCGCTACCGCTACTGACATAACTGAGTTGCCTGCCGACGAGTCGAGCCTTAGCTTTATCGTCAAGAGGATCGGTAACTCGCTTCGCTCTCACAAAACCTGACATATTCCTTTTTCCAGTTTTATCCTTTTTGTTTTCAAAGTTTTGTTTTTATTTTTTTGAAAGCAGCTAATGTAGATGAGTATAAGGAGAAGAATTGAGGGTCTGAGTGGCTAAGCATAAATTAAAGCTTACAAGACAGGTTACATGGAGAACAAGAAACATGTGATGTGAGAAGCTTTATAAAGAGAAAAGGGAAAAGAAAACTTAATTATTTTCTTAAGAAGATAAGATAAATTAATTTTGGGAAAGGAATTTGGCTGGGAATATTCGGTGGAAGTGTTATTAATTCATTGGGATTCGTTACTTTTTTTCAGTATTTGGAAAATGGGATGAAATTACTCGAACAAAAGGAGTGAAGTGTTAAAGAGGAAAAGAGAGGATATACGGGGTGGTATCCGCTTAGGGAGGAGTGTGTGGCAAGCATATCCAACGGCACCTAGGGTTTATTCCAGTTGCACTACTAGGTTACATGGAGGGATAAGATTTTGCAGTGATTGGTGGGGCCATGATTTGAAACGTGGATTTAATGGAGACGCATCGAGAGATATGGTGGGGTATAAGATTAGTCTGCCTCTTCAGGGCAGGAAGGGTGAGGGCTGGGGAGTCTAGCCGTGAAGTTTGCTGTCTTGATTTGAGAAATTTGAGTTTTAATTCCATTCGTGTTTTTTAGTAACTTGAATAAAATATTGATATGTTGATGAACTTTTTAATGATAAAGTTAATCTGATGGCCCGTAAATTAACTGTTATCGAGGTCTTTTCCCAGGTCAATTCTTAAATTGAATCTAACAACTATGGAGTCCACTAACTACTAACCTGTGGGATTTCCGTGAGATTTCACTTGGAATTGGATTGTAATTAACCATGTGATTGTGATCATATTCATTGCAGGATTAGCCAAAAATTACTTAGGATTTAAGAAAGAACTGTTTGAGCTGTGAGTTTTGTTGAAACAACTAACTTACTGCCATTGATTATTGCTTAGTTTATTGCCGCCGGACTCCGAGATGGCCTGTAAGATTTCAAGATTGCTGAAACATGTGGGCAAGACATATTGAGCCCGTTTGGCTCTGCAGCTGCGGCTGTGTTTTTATTTAAAACACAATCATAGCTGTTTGATTAGAAAAAATAAAGGTATATATATTAGGTCCTATATTTTTTTTCGTTGAAAACGTAGAATTTAAAAAACAAGAATTACTTGTTTTTTTTACTGTTCACGCAATTTGTATTGAACAGTGCAATTACGTGAACAATGCATAGTGGTGTACTGTTCAAGTGAACAGTGCAAGAGAATTGCACCGTTCACTTAAAAATAGTGAACAGTACAATTTTCTTGCACTGTTAACTACGTGGATACTTTTATATATATATATATATATGTATATATACATTTAGATTATTAATTTTTTTAATCATTTTTGTTAAAAAAAACTAATTTAGAGCGAATTTTATTAATGATAATATTTTATCTAATTTTATTATACGCTAAAAAATTATAAAAATTATACTTCTTGTCGGATGTATATAATAACAATAGTTAAATCCATAATATTAAATTAAAAATCATCAATATTAATATATATTTTTTTAAATTATTTTATAACCTCAATTTCAAAAGCATTCTTAACCAAACACATTAAACTACTTTTTCTTCAACCTTAATTTCAACCACAGTTTTAACTAAACACCTATTTTTTCAAACCAATCTCAACTAAAAATACTTTTTATAAAAACAACTTTTTTCAAACCACAACCACAATATTTACCGCAATACCAAACACACTTATATTATGCTGTAATTCACACATGCCTGGAAATCATGCCGCCAAAATATTCAGATCAGGTGATGTAATTTCTCGCTGGATAGTAAATTATAAAATAATATAAATATATTTAAAAATTTAAATTATTAAATTAAAATAATTTTTTAATATAATTATAAGTTTAAATTTTATTTTTTTATTTAATAAAAATTAAATATAAAATAACATGGATTTATATAAATTTCATGTTTAAAAAAATTTATAATTGAAGAAATATTTTAAAAAATAATATAAATTATATTTAAAAATATAAATTATTGTGTTATGATAATTCGTGTTATGATGATTCTTCAACGTAGATTCAAATAGTTATTCTTTAAACATTTTAATTATCTCCGTTTTAGTCTACCACATTGTGTCATGAACTGTAAAAATTACACGGAATGTTTAGATTTCCTTGATAATATCCGGAGTAATCACATCTTATCGCATGTGGTGCAGGTTAATTCTATGTTCAAAACAATACCTGTTGGACCAATTCTTGCAATTGGGTACGTATAGTAAGAAAACTATGTTTAATTATATAGGCCACTGTTGTTTTCTTTATACTTTAACGATTGTTGTGCCTTGAAAGCCACCATCTTTGACAGATGGATCACTCAAATACCATGCCGACAACTCCATCTAGCTGTACGGATATGGTCTTTCGTCTTTCATAATCAGCTTGAGCGGCCTCTCAGCTGGGTGCGCACCACAACCTTGCCTTTAATCTTTGCACGGTCTAGAATACTATCCACGCAAAAGCTGGGGAGGGGGTGTGTGGCTTACTCTATACACTAACCTTAGAAGGGAGAGTCTTGCCCTGAGACATCTTCTCTCCAGCTATTATGGAATTCGTTTGAGTAGTTGTTAGTGCAACATTAACGCTGTCAGATAATGTATAATTGCAGATCAACTGCTGGCCTTGCCAACTGCTATATGGTAACTGACTCTTCAATGAACGAGACTATAATATAGTTGAATGATTGCACAGTTGTTGCTCTAGTCGCTACATAATCTTGCAATCCAGCTCCAGTAACATCTAGCCATGATTGGAATTTAATCATCGACTGTGTGTTGGGAACTCGTCAGGTCTTGAGTTATCCAGCAAGAATTACAGGAGTGAATTTTTCTCGATCAATTTCACTGCAGGTAGACCAGTACCTTTGTGCACTCTAGTTGAAATACTAGCATTAGCATAGTACATTTGAGCCAGGTTTATAAAATCTGTTTAATATTTTAATTACTGTAAAAAAATTTCAGTTAATGAAATTATAATAAATCAACATTGATTGTGGCAATTATTTTTTAATTTAATATATATATTTTAATATTTAATATCATGAAGATGTTTGATTTTGATAAATGAATAAAGCAAACATACAATCAATTAACTATATAATCTAAAAATCTAATTAAGAGAATCAATAATTGATTAAAAAAAAAACAAGAATCAACGACGAAAGGGTGCTCGAGCAATTTATGTTGAAAGGGTGGTTAATTTTAATCAATGAATCCATAATTATTGATTGAAAAAACCTATTATTCTCAACTTGATTGTTATTTCTTTGTTATTGCTACTCCACATCAACGTGATTTTAAATATCAAATTCTTTTAACACATACCGAAGAATCATGATCAATTTTAAAATGAGTTATTTTAAGCCATATAAATTAGTATAAACTAAAGTATAATGAATTATTAACTATCAAATCCTTGTTATTTAAAAAAAAACAAAAAGAATTATCCACTTTTTTTATTAAAAAATGGTGTTTTTTCGTGATATTAAATATCATAAAAGCGTATAATGAATTATTAACTATCAAATCTTTGTTATTTTTTTTAAAAAAAAGAAAAAGAATTATCCACTTTTTTATTTAAAAAATGGTGTTTTTTTCGTGATATTAAATATCATAAAAGCATGCATCTTAGACTGATCAATAATCAATTATCAAACCTCAATTATTATAAAACGAATTTGGCAAGTTATCATTATTTTATTATGAGGTTGCATAAAGAATCATTATTTTTTACAACTGCAATTATTTTGTATATTAATTTTGAAAAAATAATTAATAATCCAAAGTCATGAAAAATCATTATTAGTTTTTGTGAGGTTGTAAAAATAACCGTTAATTATTTGGAGAAAATTTATATTGAGAAAATGATAAAATAGTAGATAATAAAAAAAAAATTAAAGAAGCAAAGAAGACTGAGCCAGGCCTTCTCGCAGGGGCATGGTGGCAACAACTAGTTGTTTGACTAAAATGGGATGTAGTCTGAAGTGTGTAAAAAAAATTAATGCAAAGGGGAGAATTACATGATCCTTAGCTTTTTGAATTTTCTTTAACTGATATGAACTTTGAATGCATCATGTCTTCTGTGATAGGATATTGCAAGATAAAGGCATACACCTGAGTGAACTCAAAAGCTACGAAAGCTACAGCAGTAGAAGGCTTGTTTCTACAACGAAAGCACATTCAGAGCAATAGGACTCCTGACCTTGTGAATACCATTACTCCATGTCAGAGCTCCGAACACAAAATTTCCATCACTAGTCTTCAGAGGTTTAAAATCTATCTTGAAAGACAGTTTTTCGGCTGTCTTTGTGAACTTGAGTGTAGCAGGTGTCACTGTAACTTGAACACCAGATGGATAATCAACCTTCGCAACATAAGCAGTTCGTCCTTTACCATAATAAGTAACTGTTCTGTACACTGATATGCTTCCATTCATGTTAGACACGCCAATCGAGGGGTAGTTGAAATCGTATGGTGGTTTAGTTTGCTTTGGGCAATAAGTTGGCTGTCCTGTGAGGTTTTTCAATTGTGCAGGGCTTGCACCTGTGCTGCAGAGAAAATTAATAACGTCATCGGAATCAAAGTCATAAACTAGTCCTGGATTCAATGCTGCTAGTGGATTTATGTGTCCGGATCCGTAGTCAAAAGGTGTGGCCTGGGTGTCATCTGGATCTCTCCCAATAAGCTTTCGTGTGTTATCCATGACTATAGCTGTAAAAATGAATTCAAGCAATAGATGTCAGATATAGAGAAAGATGTCCTAAAAACTTGTTAGTGAACTGAGATTTTCCTGATAATTTTTCACCGCTGCAACATCTAACCTGTTGTCATTATTGCTGACTTTATCGCCGCCGGACTCCAAGAAGGTCTGTAAGATTTCAAGATTGCTGCAACTGCTGAAACATGTGGGCAAGACATGGAGGTTCCGGAGATTATGTTGTAGTTCACGGATCGCCCAGCTGTGTCATCAGTTGACACTGGAGACCATGCTGCCAAAATATTGAGACCAGGAGCTGTAATATCTGGCTGCAATTGGAATTCACATGGTCAAGCCAAATTGTGCTTCAAACATTTCAATTCCTTCTCGTCTACCTCATGTAGTCATCAAATTTAAAAGGCACATATGTGAATGGATATGTTTAAAGGTTGGATAGGGTTTACCTTGATGATATCCGGGGTTATAATATTTGGTCCTTGTGAAGAAAACACTGTCACTTTTGGTGCAGGTTTTGTGTTCAAAACAGTAACTGTTGGCGCAATTCTTGCAGTTGGATTCCTATAGAAAGAGGAGTGCGTTTAGTTCTGTTAGATAAGTATTAAATTTCAATTCTATAATGCCATTTTGAGGCTTTGT